AAGGCCAGCCAATCATGGTTCATGTGGCATGTTAGTGTGAGGTGCCCTATTTGTGAGACAGTCCTGGGAGCGGGCCATGTTAGTCTGGACACACTGAGTTTGGCAGGTGCATGGAACACCGTGAGACTAACATGGATCATTTCCAGATACTGGATTCCCTGGATCTTGGCTACTTCCGACGTATTCCATGTTAGCATCTATTAGCATCTCAAGGGTGCTGCACTTCTAGTGCACCAATCTTCATCCGGCCTTGTAGTGTTCTACGTTAGTCTCCGGAATCACCTTTTTCCTCTCATACCGGTGCTTTCCATATTCCCCGGGACTTCTAACAAGCAGGTAGGCCATGTTAATGAGCACTGAGAGTTGGAGCCACGTTCCATGATAAACTCCGCCGGAGTATATACTTGGATCTACCGCGTTAGACTCGATTTCAAGATGTTTTTTCCTGATTGGCTACAGACAGATGTAGCCAAGGCTTGAGCAGTTGTGTCCATGGAACACTGAGTAAGTCGGTGCATCCATGGACCACTGAGCTTCTTCTCGCCCTCCGCATGGCCTCCACACCCCGAGCGGGTGATGGATTTTCCAGAGTGGGAGACCCATGGAGACTCACTTCACAGAGATGTCATAGCCAAGGAACTGGAGTTGTGAGAAGTGTTTCCTCTTCCGGCGTAGCATGGCGTAGGTCAGAACATGTGGCAGGTAGCCTTCAACAAGTGGAGGTCTCAGCTCAGCCTTCTCAGCCTGACAGAATGGGCATCCAGACTCTAGCCTCTAGCTTGCGGGACTTGTGTGCGTGTTCTTCTTTTACTCCTTGCTGCCGGGCAAGAATTCTGTCAAAGAGAATGAAAAGAAAGGTGACGCAAGTCTGAGTCCTTTGGAGGATGATTGCTTTCGTTTATATAGCAAGTACCTGCTTTGGCCTGATGGTCCATGGGGCATGGGTGTTGGGTTGTGTTGGGTTGTTTGTGCCAGTGATCAAGTGTGAGAGTGATGGGGTTGACAAGGATTTGTTGGGGTGTTCCAAATCACAGAGTTGTGCCCCCTTCTGTTTTGGAGCTTCAAGGAAGATTGGCTCCGACTGTTATAGATGATGGTGTGTCTCTAGCCACACTCACCTGTCGAGATATGTTTGGAGTATACAGTATCTTGAAGATGCTTGGGCGTTTGCGTACATAGTTTGTGGTTTCAGCTTGGGTTAACCTGTTCACCTGCGACGCAATACCTTAGAGGCCTGGCAACAAGGTTTGTACCACCAACTACTGTATTTCAAGGAGACGTTTGAACATTGCCATCCTATTTGACTCTCAGGGTCTTTGTCTTCCAGAGAAGTCAAAGTCAGAGGCCCTGTTGGCAAAAGGATGTCTAGGGCCAAGCAAAACTATGTTGTTTCTTGGCTGCAAACTCAGTCAATGCAGGCGCCAGCACCACACAAGATCCCAACCAGATTTTGTCACTGGCCACCTGCACATGCATAGACTTCTATGCTGTGGACGCAAATGCTTCTGCTGGCCATGAACAATGGTTCAATTCCTAGTCATCGGCTATGAGGGGACCCGCCAAATGTTGGACTCATATTTTGCTGTCGGCTGGACAGTTGGATGCATGTTTGTATTCGTTGCATGTTCTGATATGATCACACAATTTTGTATCCCCTCAGGGCCATGACCACCATTGCTTGGCCTTCACACTGAAGATGTTGAACAGAAGTCGGGCAACATAGTCTTTGAACTTGGCAATCTTGGGCTTTCATACGGATAGCATGTCATAGCTCAACAGGATCCAACAGGACTTTCTTCCACGAGTCACGAGCTAAAAATGTACCAACCACTTCGATGGCCCGATGAGCTGTATCTTTGCCCGCTACACTCAATAGGGAGCTGGCAGGCACTAGCACCGATCCGTTGGGCAAAGAGAAGCTCTTCTTTTTGCGACCAGAGAAGTGCCAAGTGTTTCAGGTAAGTCAAGATATGTTCACATCGTTTTGTCGCATGTTTTGCTTGGTGGTAACTTGAGTCATGTGATCATCGTTTTTTTTGTAATGCGAAGGCATTTCCAGGTAATCTTCATTGACCTGCACGCCCTTCGATCAATGCCAGCAGGCGTCCAGAAGTTCTGTATCGGGGTCTGCATATCGGCCACTTCGGTCTGTCCTATACCTGTAACAGTCGGTAAACAATTATCATCAATTATCACTAAGAAAAGCCTTCACTAAACATCATCATCCACTATTGCTGGTAATGGGATAGACTCGGATAGAACCCATAACCATTTCTTTTTCTGAGCATCTAGACTGAGCGTTGCATATCCTTGCCGGGCGCGACAGACGGGCCTTCCTCAGACCTGCGGATGCAGTCTCATCTCTATGACATGTCCTCCATTGCCACGGTACCCCCGTTCTTCACGTCTGCTTACCAACCCTCCATATGGACCTCCAAGTCACGAGTATGCACCTTACTTGGACATGTCCATACGCCCCAATGAGGGTCTGCCGCTGTGGATGCGGGCATCGAACATCGGGTCTCCATGGTTCATGAAATTGGAAGTACGGATTGATGGGGTTGACAAGGATTTGTTGGGGTGTTCCAAATCACAGAGTTCTACCCCCTTCTGTTTTGGAGCTTCAAGGAAGATTGGCTCCGACTGTTATAGATGATGGTTTTGTCTCTAGCCCCACTGACCTGTTGAGATGTGTTTGGAGTATACAGTATCTTGAAGATGCTTGGGCGTTTGCGTACATAGTTTGTGGTTTCAGCTTGGGTTAATCTGTTCACCTGCGACGCAGTACCAAAGAGGCCATCAAGCAGTACATAGTTTGTGCCAGCAACTATTTCAAGGATACGTTTGAAGATTGCCATCCTAATTGACTCTCAGGGTCTTTGTCTTGCAGAGAAGTCAAAAGTCAGAGGCCCTGTTGGCAAAAGGATGTCTAGGGCCAAGCAAAACTATGTTGTTTCTTGGCTGCAAACTCAGTCAATGCAGGCGCCAGCACCACACAAGATCCCAACCAGATTTTGTAACTGGCCACCTGCACATGCATAGACTTGAATGCTGCGGACGCAAATGCTTCTGCTGGCCATGAACAATGGTTCAATTCCTAGTCATCGGCTATGAGGGGACCCGCCAAATGTTGGACTCATATTTTGCTGTCGGCTGGACAGTTGGATGCATGTTTGTATTCGTTGCATGTTCTGATATGATCACACAATTTTGTTTTGCAACCCCTCAGGGCCATGACCACCATTGCTTGGCCTTCACACTGAAGATGTTGAACAGAAGTCGGGCAACGTAGTCTTTGAACTTGGCAATCTTGGGCTTTCATACGGATAGCATGTCATAGCTCAACAGGATCCAACAGGACTTTCTTCCACGAGTCACTAGAGGTAAAATGGACCAACCACTTCGATGGCTCGATGAGCTGTAACTTTGCCCGCTACGCTCAGAAGCAGGTGCAAACGGAGCTAGCCAATCCTTTTTGTTGGTTGGAACGGAAGGCTCGAAACTTTCGGAACGGGACGCAAGCTTTTCATCACAGTGATGACAGCTGTTCAAGGGATGTTCGTTGGCGGCGAAGATGCAAGCTTTTCATCACAGTCATTCTTTCCACCCGGCCGAAGTCTCGGGCATCGATCTCGGGCCTCGTGCCATCGGAATCACGGCGATGGACGGGGCGCCCCTTCCGTTCCTTCCGACCTCCCTTCGGGGAAGAGCCACACAAACGGAAAAAGGTTCAGACTCACCTGCGAGGTCCAGCTCCACCAGATCAAGCTGCACGTTCGTTTTGGTTCGTCAGTCCTGGATCTTGAGGACGAGTCTTCCCGGATCTTGAGTGATATGTTGCAATGTGAAGCTAATTTGGAGTTGAATAGTAATGACTCAGAATACATGTCTAAGATTTGAGAAGAACCGCACCACGCTGCGCCGCGTGGGTCGATGCCATGCGAAATCGATGCTCACCTTCGGTATATCGAGTCCACCATCGGGGGTGAACGGGATGAACGGGGTGAACCCCAAAAATTGAAAAACACACCCAACAGCCCTTGTAATATCGAAGTCGGACTTTTTCAGGCTTTCCATACGCGAGTTTGGTTCATCGGACCTCATCAGCAAGCGGTTCCGTTTCTGGGTGGGAGAGCAATTCCTATAGCAGGGATGGTCACAGCCAACAACAGTCTACGGTTGATTGAGATTGCCCTGGATAATCACCTGGAGGAATTCTTGAAAAGGCGTTCTTCCTTTGGGGTAGCATCCCCAAGGACCATGTTGAGATATCACAAGAGCGCTCGATTGAAGACTGGCATTGCCCAGACCATCCATGTATTACGGAATAGAATATACATTTACCGCCATTTTGATGTATATAATATATAAGCATATATAAGCAATTACTGTATTCCATAGATGAATGGTTTGGTTTGGGTGATTCAATCATTTCAGCACATGCGCTGCGCTACCTCTGGCAACGCATGTCTTCACATCTTCAATCCAAACAGTGGTAGCGCCTCAGAGTGCACCCATGTTGGTCACCAGGATTGCTCTTCAATAGACGTTCATCCCGCAAACATGTCCCAACCAGAGCTGTTGTTCGCTCGCTCGCTCGCTCGCTTGGCTGCTTGGGTGCTGGTTGCTTGCTTGCTTGGTTGGTTGCTTTTGCTTGCTTGCTTGCTGGCTTGCTGGCTTGACTTGGCTTGGCTTGGTTTGGCTTGGCTTGGCTTGGCTTGTTTGCTTGCTTGCTTAGCTGCTTGGGCGCTGGTTGCTTGCTTTGCTTGCCTGGTTGGTTGTTTGGATGGTGGGTGAGTGGGTTGGTCATTCGGTCGGTCGATTGGTTGGAGTGTTGTGTGTTATGTTGTTTTGCTTGTTGTTTGTTTAATTTTGCTTATCCCCATCATTCCCTATCACTATAATTTAACATCTTCAGGGCTTGGGTTTGAATGCCCTCATCCCAAGTAGGCCTCAGGCTTGCCGCAGGCCTTCCCCCTCACCGTGTCACCGTCCTGCAGGCGCAACACACCACGAGCCTCTCACGACGGAGCAAGCAGAAGCGCCGCTTTCGCGGCCGGAGCCGACAGAGCCTTGCAGTCGCTCAGCCTGATGGGCAGAATTTGGGAAGCCCGTTCAACTACTATGTCTTATGTTCGACAACCCTAGTGTATGTATATCCTGGCACTGGAGTAGATAGAATGTGGAAAATCAAAAACAATGGAAAGCTGATAATGTTTTTGCATTGGTTCATATTCTATCTACTCCAAGATGCTTGTAGACCTATTTAGACAATTAATTCATCAACGTCCCCGCAGGGCCTGGAGATGTAAAACAACTTTTTGGGGTGTGGTCATTATATCATCAACAGTCAACAGTCTACAATAGAGCAATCCCCTACAGAACCCAGCAGACCCCTACGTCCAAGTTGGCCCTTCTTAGATCCCATCACCCAAGTTCCCAGATGGCCCAGGCCAGGTCACCAGGTTGGTCAGTGAGCCATTTTTGGGGGAGATATTTTTGCAAGACCCGAAATCTGATTGATGTGTTCGACATGTCATTTGGTGAGCTGGACGCATTCTTTTTTGTTGATTGCTTTGACAGGGAGAAAGATAGGATGGAACTGGATGCAATAGGGATGGATAGGGTGTCTTCAAATTCTTAAAACGGACAAATGGTCTTTGTTCGGACATTGCAGGCTGCTTTGGGGGGGTGCCACCAGTACTGGTGGCTTGCCTCACCTGCTAAGTCAATCAAACCAAGAGTTGGTCCAGGACGCAGAGGTCATGGTTGCTGCAGGAGAAATCCGCCGACCCCCGGTCGAATCGGCCGATGAACGTGAGCGGAGTCTGGTGTTCCTCAAAAGTTTTGTTCTTTTTTTTCCTGCTTTCGATCCAAAAACATCCTCAGGATCGTCGTTTAGGATCTCCGGTTGCAGAGGAGATCATGGCGGGTGTGGGTTAAAGCCTGTCAACACCTTTCCAAAACGAACCATGACATTCTTCGGAAATCCTCCAAGATTGTGATTGTTTGTGGCTCTGATACGCCGAGGTGGAGATCCATCCACATGGAGAGCAGGTGACTTTGCCCCTGGAGGTGGACCGACCGATTTGGGCTCCCGTCCTCAGGTCTTTTGGGAGGTGCTGTAGCATCCGAATGGCACGGTGATAAGGGGGTAACGGGGGGGGTGCAGATTCCGTGCCAAAAGCTTTTCGGGGCCTGATTCATCACTGGTTCATGGTTTGTTCTTCCTATTAAGGATTGGGATCTCACATGCTCTTAGCAAGGATGTTGAGCCAGTTCCCAGTCAGCGACCGATCGCCTCCGAACCTCACGTGCCAGTCACAGCTTGAAGCTGCATGCGGTACATACAGATGTCTTTGTTTTTCAACTGGGTTCCCCAGAACTATAGCCATAGGATCCAAGCATCATCTTTTACGTTGGACAAGTGTAGCCATTGTCTAATGATACAGACGAAACACCTGGAGTTACTGTAATCGTTCGCCACTGACTTGGTGGCTGAGGTTGTTTTTCACGTGTCAGGGAGCTTACATATTTGTGTGAGGATTCACCGTGTAGGAAACACAACACATGTTGGACGAAACCGTGTGATGTTATGTCTAGAACCATATATTATCTTCCATGTTTTTTCCTCTAAAATACGGAAGGCATGGTACATTGGATCACGTGTGCGTGTCTTTCCATCCGTGGGTACAGACCACTCTCGCGCACCGAGGGGAAACGTGGGCCGTTCAGGACATGTCGTCCGAGTACACGGGAGTCATCGGAGTCTCGGGCCTAGAGCGCTACATCTACATCGGTCCACATGGAAATGGGACTGTCATTGATACATTCCCAGACACTCCATGGGACTGGCATATATGCCTACATTGGGGTGGTGCCAGGGGGGTCAATGTAGGCATATGGCAGTCCCATGGAGTGTTTGGGATTGGGGTGGTGGACCTGGGTTCTTTTTTGGGGTCAAGGTATGTAAATAGTCCAGTCCCATGGGAGTGTGTGGGTACGGCAGTGACAAGCTTTGAGCAGTGGAGCTCTTAGCAGTGGTGTGGGAGAGAGTCGCTGTCGCTATCCATCAGTTGTTCTTCCAACAATTCTTGGGTGTCCAGGTATGTTCAGGTAGAGGATGGACACCCCGTAGAGTCGTGTCATGTGCGAGGTTCCAGGTTCCTACGTAGCAGGCGTAGTGAGTCGGACCGCTGGGCCGACAGGAAGTCTTCGTGTCCTCTTCGCACCCGAATCGAACCAGGTCAGAACTGATTTGACCATCCCAGACGCGACCCGGGACCCTCATATGGGGTCGGGACCCTCATATGGAGGGGTCCGGACCCTCAAATCCCTATGGTTTTGAGGGACCCATGGGCTGTTTGGAGCGTTTGGGCACATAACTGTGAACTCCAGAAAACCTGAGACATCTCTCGATCCCCAAATTCAGTGCCTCCAGGGCTGTCAAAGAGCCGGAAGACTGGCTGTAGTTTGAATTGACGTGGGTACCCCTGGTGAAGAGATCGAGCCTTTGTGCTCGAAGACAGACGTCGAACATCTTCAAGCCGATGAGTTCTTTACCCTTGGATATGGCTGTGGGTCAACACCCGTATCCACAAACCAGGGTAGGTTGCCTCTATTCAGTTCACTTTTTGTGGTCAACCCAGGTAGCCCGGTTTTGACCCACAACCTATCTTCCACGATAAAAGTTGGAAGTGCCTTGCGTCCCAGTCCCGAGTGCTGCCGACCATCAAACAATCTTTGAGTCACAAGTGTTCACCGTCGGCCATGGTTAATCACATCCATTTGTTACCCTCCCCGCAATATATATATATATATTATATACATATATATATATACACAACCATGCAATATAACCATATAACCCTAAGAATCCTTGGGGCCCTCCACGGACGGGAGACGCATCAAAAAAGAAATATAAATGCATCAATAAAAAAATATAAATGCATTAAGAAAAAAATAAAAATGCATCAATAAAAAATAAAGAAAAGAAACAA